TTCAAATGACCTTTTCCTATCAGGTCCTCGATGACATCTTTCAAAGCTTAGCAGTCATTTGTATTGTGCCCGACATCCCTGTAATACTGGTAATATTTTTTGTTGATCTCTTCTTCTTGGAGCCCCCCTCATTCTTTCCGGAGCGGGCAGCCTCTTCACCTCTCGAGAAACCTCATAGATGTGGGCGATATCTTGAGTAAAGGGGGTATACTCTATATACCATGGGAAAGGTTGCCCATCTCCACAGTTATCTACTCTTTGTTTCTTTGGGAATCTGTTGCGATCCCTATCGTTGTGATCTTGGCCTCTACGCTTATCCGAGGGGCGATCTTCTCTCCTATCCAGAGCCCCCCGCGTCAAGCTCCTGGCTAGTGCAACTAACAAGCTTTCTACTTGTTGGTATTTTGCAACCATCTAGTATAATTTGGCTACGCTCACATAGTCTTCGCTCTGAAGCTCTTTCCATAGCTCCATGTTAGGCCTAATCCTTGCGATCAGGAGAGTCTAAATGGATTCTTCGAGAGCCTTAACTAACTTTGTCTACTTGTTTTGGAACCTCATTAAATACGAGGTTAGCGATTCATCTCGCTCTTGGCGAATATTGCTCAAATAGTTGAACAGCATTGCGAACTGTCTCCTTGCCTAAAACTGCTGTAGATATGGTGTGAAGAACTATTGCCAGGAATTGATGGAGTTCGCTTTGAGCCGTTTGTACCACCCTTGGCATCTCCGACTAATGTGACTGCGAAACACCAACATTTCACTAAGTCACTGACCTGGTGGAGCTCCATCAGGTTAATAAAGTTATCAAGGTGACCTCTGGGGTCCCCCCTCCCGTTGAACTTGCTTTCTGATGCTTTGAATCCTTGTAGGAGCGTGGCCTGGTGAGCTTCTTCCATAAAGGGGAACTTACTATTTCTTCCGCTAGGTTGTTCTAGCGAGCTTTTAGATCATTGAGCATCATTTGCATGCGATCCAAGTCTTCATTTTGGTTCCCTTGATTGGCTCTATTAAGTTGTACCTCGAGCAAATGGGTTCGCAAGTCTATCACTTGCAAAACTACTCCGATACGCGCATTGATACATGAGGTTGAGTCATGATGGTTGGGTTGATAGGTGCTATCATGCTCGTATGTGCATTGCTCGTAACATCGGTCATAACTGGGATGTCAGTCATTGGCAGATTGACGCACATGGCTCACTTTGCAAGCCTGCGAAGATCGATCCTATCTTGGGCTTGGGTTAAAACCGGCACGCTAACGCTGGAGATACCGCCGAGCTTCTCAGTGGTGTCCGTCGCCTTTGCTTTCCCTCAACAACTGCTTCCTTAGTCACCTCTTGGGATTTGTTTACCCGCGGGACTCTCGCTCATGCATGAAAAGCTGTCTGCAAGGTTAGTGGTGTTGGTCGCCACCTGGCAGCGACGAAACAGACAGTCAACCTACAGAATTCATACCTCCTAGGGTAACGTTGGTGAAACACAACTTGTCGGGATTATGGGTGATTGGTTGTTGGTTCTTCAGCTCAACCACGTTCACCTGTGCAACCATTGTTCTGATCATCTCCATCAACTGGCCGTTCTCGGGATTTGATGTCTCTGCCCCTAATTGTTTGCGGCATGTTGAGCTAGCGGCACAGGTGGTCAACGTCTAGCATTCTCCTGTTGCACCTCCTGGTAGGCGGTTTCCACGTTCTTGTGATTTTCGGTGGTAGTTCTTGATCTGATGAACACCATTTTGATCTGGGATAGGTAAATCGTGGTGAACGTTTGCCAAGATCTTTGAAATAGTGGCAGAGGTTCATGCCCTCCTTTTAGCGCCAAAATGTTGATACAAAAATATGGATCAACTAGTGAGATTCGATCGATCTTGTTGGGATCGAAATTGATGTGTGCGTGATTATAGGTAATCAGCGATGAGTGAATGATAATGCCAAGTTAACTGCCTACGTCCACTGTGTTTTGTGTAAATGTTGTGAGAGCTTACAATGTAGTTTTAATCCAGAATTCGTATCCCCCTCCTCATTGTTTTAAGAGGTTTATATACAAGATTTACATAAAAGAAAGAGCAAAATTAAGAGGATTACAAAAGATTTAAATCACAATTCCGATATCCTTGCGATTGAGCGCTATGATCGCGTAACAATAATTGTTGATCCAATCATTTCCACAATATCCAGGACCTAAAGTAATCTGGGGATTTATTGATTAATTCTTGGGATTGTCCGCAACTAGCTTATGCTAGGTCGAGCTACGGCTCGACAAGCTTATGTTGGGTTGATCAATCATAGTTGTCAAAATCATTCTAGGCCAAGCTATATCCTCACGTTGGCCCGAGCTTGAAGGAAAAACCACACACAATAGACGCCATCCAAAGAATTAACCGAGCAACATCCATGCAACTCAAATTTAGAAATGAAAATATAAAAGCAAAGTTCGCATTATTGTCCTGCTAGTGATAATAATGAATAAGCACAAGCAATCAACTACACTGTGAGAAGAAATGAATCGACAATCATCAATTTTGCCCAGACCTGGCAAATGGGTGGGTACGGGTAAAAAATTTTCACGGGTTTGAAAATGCATAACTCGTACCTGTCGTGCAGGTACAAGTCAACCCGCAAAAAACAAAATCATATGAAAGAGGACAATCTCTAGGTTTTATATTTGCGTGAAAGGTCTATCATTAAGTCAAAGAGCCTATAATAATTAAGTACTTGTTCAGGGGAAAGGTGGCATGATATTTTTTAGTCTTCTGAAGCGATTTTTATGGCATGGAATTTAGGGAAGAAGATGGCAGAGATTAGTGCTATTGCTAAAGCTGCTGCTGTGAGAGGGATGAAGTAGGAGGAAAACTCATTTATGACCACGAAAGCCTTGCATTAAAATAGTAATATTATTAACCCCTCTCCAAGAAATAATTATTACTAAAATTTATGACCTCGTGCCAAGAGTTGATGAAGCCTCTTGAATATTTATCATTTATTTATTTTTTAATAAATGATAAACATTCAAGTTAAACTGAGAGCTGAAGAAAGAGAGAGAGAGATTGAAAGTTACACCGTGACCGCGAGAGAGCAGACGAGTTGAGCGTGAGAGAGATGAAGAGCTACATGAGAGAGATTAAGAGCTGAGCATGAGGGAGATGGAGAGCTGCGAGAGAGAGATTGAGAGTTGAGCTTGAGAGAGTTGGAGAGCTGCAGGAGAGAGATGGAGAGCTGCAGGAGAGAGAGATGGAGAGCTGTGTGAGAGTCTTAAAGAGATTGAGGGCTGGTGGTGCTGGGCGCCGCTGGCTGCGGGTGTGAGAAATGGTTTTGGGTTTAAGTTCAAGTACGAGTCCCCGTGGGTATTACTCGACCCACCCGTAATTTTCACGAACGAGTTGGGTACCGGTAATTTTGAAACGGGTAATATTTAGAGATACCCATACCTGCTCGTTAGATGCGGGTACTGTTTACCCGCGAGCACGGGCCCTCTTTGTCTAGTTGTGCCTAATGAATTTTAATATCTACGGAATTTATGACACAAGGGCTCCGTTTGGTTCAAGATTGGGAATACTACTCTTGATATTCCCAAAAAAGTTAAACAGTAAAATATCCAAAATCTCTCATTTTTGGGAATACTATTTTCAATATTATTTAATTTTTTTTAAACCCTCTAAATTTGTTAATTTAATTAAATACCCCTAAATATTTTTTTTAAAATTACAAAAACACCCCAACAATCCACATTTACCAGATTCTGGCCACCACTACCAGAAAATGGCCGGAATCTGGTAGGATGGCGCACTACCGGTTGAATCTGGCCGGTAGTGCGCCGATCTAGCCTTTTCCGACCAGATCTAAGGCCAAAGATCTGGCCGTTGACGGCCAGATCTTTGGCCGTAACACTCGGTCACGACGGCCAACAAACGGTCGTCGTTGACCATCAACGACGACCGTTTGTTGGTCGTCGTTGAGAGCAAATACGGCCAGATCTGGTAGGAGACGGCCAGATCTGGCCTTTTCCAACCAGATCCACGGTGGATCTGGCCGGAAAAGGCCATAGCGACGCATGACCGGCAAGATCCAACCGGTCATGCGCCCATACTGCGACTCCGGCCACCTCTGGTGGTGGTCGCCGGCTGGGGGTGTTTGAGGGTGGGTTAGGGGTATTTTTGTTAACTTTTAATGTTTTATTATAGGGGGTATTTTATAAAAAAATAAACGTAAAGGGTATTTTATTAATTTATAAATTCTACATCGTCATACCTGCTAAATTCAACTTTTTTTTAACTTTTTTCAAAAAAAAATTCCCAAAACCCCCAAATTTTGAACCAAACGAAGCCAAGAACTCAACATGTCATTTAATTCACTACCAAAAACACATGATTTAGAGAATGAATCTCTTTCAAACAAGTATAACACGTGATTAAAAAGATAAATATCTTTAACACAAAGAAAACACATGTTGAAAATAATACAAAACTGTCTAAATAGCAATTATTTAAGAATAATACTTTGGGTACTAACGAATAGATACTAATCTGTGTACTAACTAAAGCATAGTACGGGTACTATACGCATAGTACGGATACTATGCTTTAGTTAGTACACAGATTAGTACCCATCCGTTAGTACCCATAGCATCACTCATTATTTAATCAACAACTCTGCGACAAATCAAGGGTAGATAAGCGATAAAAATCTTCCCCTAGATTTACCAGCATCATAAACCCAAATAATTATTGAATGAAAACGAAAAGATTAACGTATCCCATTAATACCCAAAACACACAAATCGAATCAGATGCAAACAAAAGCGAATGGAAAAAGAAAAACCGTAATTTATGGAATATTACCAAAATACGTCATAAGAAAAGTTATCAAATGTCAAAAAACTTGAACACTAAAAGTCAAGATTCAGTTCAAATCACAGCAACATAACCACCAAGATTAACAAACATACCAACTAAGACTCTAGGAAATGAAATTAAACGAGAAGAAAGATAACAAGAAAGTTACCCTCACAACAGCAGTAACGTCCCTTAGAGGCCTCCTCGGGTACCAAGCAGGTAAACACAGAAGATCCTCTCCGAGCACTTCCTATCGGCGTATTCTCTCTTCCCATTGGTCCACCTGTCGCCGACGTACATCCGTACAAATTTCTTCTTCCACGGCCGAACTCGCTTCTCGGGGTCCCCAACCCACCACCTCTTCCTCCACCTATCGATTGTCCACGCGCCGCCGCCGTATTAGCCTCTCGAGTGACTGAAGATTCCAAAAGATTTGAACTCTGTTCTGGTTCATCTCTTAGGATTCCGAGAGTTCCAGACCTTCTCTGACTCTGAGTGTAGAGGGTCGCAAAATCAACTACCGTCACTAGTCTTCCATGTGACTCCGCCATTTTTTTGCTTGTTGATTTCTTTTGAAAAGATTTATTTATTTATTTATTTTTAAAAATCAAATTAGGATTCCAAACATTATTCTTGCAACAGAAATTACCTTGAAGGGGACAAATGAAAGAGATAGAAGGGAGAACAAAATAAAGAAGAGAATTTGCGTGTGATGAAGATTGAGGAGAAGTGAGCGGTATTTAAAAATTTTAAAACTTTCAGCACGTGCGAGCGAGGATGTTTTGAATTTCAAATTTTGTGCTCGGTAATGACTTTGTTACCCCTTTATTTGTTTTTCATTGTTTATACGTTTATGTGTTGGTTTAAAATTTTAATACAAGATTATTATTCAATTAGGAAAACAATCTAATGCTTCGGGGACTTGAGTAATTAAATTTCTGGACAGAATCGATGCAGTAGAAGCAATACCTATGATATAACTTTCTGAGAAAATGCCAGATTTTACTTCAGTAATAAATTATAGTCAACTTGGCTTTTGAGGCCCGAAAAAGATGTCAAAAATGTTAAAAACAACTGGGAATGGTTTTCTGTTGGGTCAAATTCAATTTGCGTTATAAAGAACCCAACCTCATTCCAGACTCCACACCTGATGTAATTGACCATTTCAGTTCTTTGAATTTGTGCAGCTCATTCAACAGAAATAACTATCCATAAGTTGTCGATTAAAGACTTGCACATCTAGCTTAATACTGACAAGTACAAGTAGTGAAATGGATCATGAGTTACTACTGCATGTCCATTGACCATATCGATAGGTGACATATGGCCGTCCCTGCCGATTGTGTTCACAAGACAAGAATCTCATCGCCATCCAGACCATATTTGGCCAACATCAACTCCTGCTTTCAAACAGTGAAAGGCCATTATAATACTCATACCTTTCTGACAGTTGAATCACTTCCCAAATCTTTTATTACCGAATAATACACAACTTTAGGACGCAAACATCCAAAAGACAATTGTACACAACTTCATCCAGTTTTAGATACTGTACCTGTTGTTCCTCTCCCTTTTTTTTTTTTTTTTTCCCTCTCGCATTGAATACTTGTCCAATTTCTGAAAACTCAGGGTCAACAGCTCCATATTCAGTGCCACGAAGAATTCTGCTTGCAAGTGTTTCAGCAATAGACAATGAAACACTAAGAGCTAATCAGAGTATAAGACAACATTATAAGAAGATTCCTCAAGGACAACATTTTTAGGAGATTCCTCAAAGACAGCAACAAGTATAATTTAACACCGGAGATGGAATCACATACCAAGTCACAGAATCATTAATGGTATTTCTCTTCACCTTAAGGATTCAGGAAGCTAAAATGGAAAACATAAAGAAATAGCATTCCCAATGAAAACAAACTAAAGGTGAATGATTGTAAACTGTAGAGTGAACTATTAAACTCTAAACTCAAATTCGTTATTCGTATAGAGGTAAGCAGCAAATCTGTGACAGTACCTACAAGTGTAACAGTACACAATTATTAACATCCTTCAAGCTACAAGTTATGCTAAAGTGTGCAAGAAAATTACTTGTAAGCCAACACTTTCATAGGACACAAATAAGAACATTGACTTTCTCCCACTGTTTTATGATAACATATAACAAAAGCAACTCAGGACCCAAAATCAGGTGCAGGAAACCTGAAGATGTTAAAGGTTTTGCTGCATTGCCATAGAACTTCAGAAGGCAAAACTGTATTTTCAACCCACACCTTAATTCAAGAGGTTTCAGCGATTTGGGAAAACTTTTATACATTCAGAAGACCTTGGTATGGAGTTTCATCTTTTCTTTTGCTACTATTTATGTGTTTACTCTCACCTTATTTCTTATCTTTTACTACTGAATAATTTACATTGTCGTTAGAAAACTCTGAGTTGAGCAACTCCAAGTGCCATGAAGAATTTTGCTTGTAAATGTTCCAGCAGGAGACAATGAAACATTATGAGCAAATCAGATTACTTCATCAGTAAGACAGAATGCCTCAAAGGCAGCTACACAAAAAATTTAAACTCCCAAAGATGCAACACCTTATTTAGAAACAAAATCACAACAGTCTTTCCCTTCTTGTGGGAATTAATGTATTTATCATTTTCATTTATTATGCAACATTCATATTATAGCAAATGATCCAGGATGGCAAAATGGAAAACGTAAAGAAATATCATTCTCAATTAAAACAAACAGAATTGCATGACTGTAAGCTGTACAAGGAATTAATTTATTCTAAACTCAGATTTGTAGCTTCTCTTTGCTAGGAAGCAAAGGAAACACATTTGTGACCGAATCAACAGTTATTGACAAGAATACATTATTTGAGCTATCATACAACAAGAGCATCTAATAACATTAAAAAAAAAAAAAAAAATTCTAATCTCACAAATTCAATGAGCTTTATCAGTAATTATAAATGTGAAGGAGTTGGAATGGAATTACGCTCTACATGAATTCAGAAGGGGAATTGGCATCCGGCTTTCCATTATCGCCCAATCCTCCAGGGTGCTGCAAATTCTGCAAAACCTGAGGCGGCAATGCCCCCAACCCACCACCCAATCCATCATTTGCTGACCCGTAAAACTGACAAACTAGCCTAGCCATTATCCCCAAAATCTGCAACTGATTCTGGCAGGCGTCGGCGTGCATTTGCATCATGGACTTTTCATGTTCAATCTGCAAACTCAACATTCTCTCCCTCCATTCCATCTCCTCCTCCTCCCTCTTCTCCTCCATTCTCATTCTCCTCCTCCTCTCTTCATCCAATTCCATCTCTATCCTCACTCTTCTCTCATATTCCCTCCTTGCCCACTTCAACTCCCTCTCCTCCAACTCTGTTTCTCTACTTTCCACTTCCTCTTCTCTCTCATTCTGCCACGTGTCCTTCTTCCACTCCATTTCTCTTCTCTTTTCCTCCCTCTCTATCACACCCTTGTCTCTCACAAACTCTCTTTCTCTTCTCTTCTCTTCCCTTCTCACCACAACATCCCTCAAGTCCAAACCTTGTGCCCCAAGCAAACCGAAACCCTTACTTCCTCCAAAACCCTTCTTCCTTTTCCTGTTCTTGACCATACCCACTTCACAAATTTCTCTTTCCATCCCATATTCACTCTCACTCTCAATTCTCTCCTCACCCGCACCACTTTCTTCATCTTCATCCTCCTCCTCCAAATCCTCACTATCAATCTCAACAAACCCCAAATCACAACAATCCTCAAACAAATCACCACCATTAGATTCACTCACCCTCTTCCCCTTAACTTCAAGCTCCACATCACCAAAAACCTCCTTATACTTCATGAAATTCTCCCAGTGATTCTCACCATCTTTCCAATTAAACTCATCATCAGAAATTCTGATCTTTTGTTTGACACCCAGGTACTGATGCCGCATATTCTGGACTTTGATGGAGACGTCTCGCCAGGACCACTTGAAGGGGAAGGTGATTGGGTCTTGAATATGGTGAGTAGAATTAACGTGGTCCGCAATGGGGCGAAACTTCTTCTCTCGGGTCTTGAGTTTGGAAAGTGTACCGGTGTTGAGGAGATCGGAGTACTTTGACAAAAGGGTCTGTTCTTCTAGCTCCGACCATTTCTTTCGCTTCATTTTTGGGGTTATGGGATGGGTTTTAGTTGCAGAAGAGAGAGGATTGAAGAAAAGTGAAGAGAGTGAAAAAGTGAAGCGATTTTGGTGGTGGGTTTGTCTGAATTGTTTCAAGTAGAAGACGGTGTTGAAGACTTTTTTACTAGTTCACTGTTGTCAAATTATTATTATTAAAATTTTAAAAAATAAATAAATTGATTTAATGATATTTTAGATATTTGTTTCTTGGTAAATTTCTCATAGGTTAATGAATAATTAATAACTTAGTTTAGGACTAGTTTGCTTACAACTGAGTTATACAACCAGATAAAAAATAAAGGATAAAGTAGTTATTTTATATGAATTTTATACAAATTTTATTTGGTTGTATGACTTATTTGCATAACTTAATTGTAAGCAAAATATTATTGTTGAAAATAATCTTGAACATAATTTTGGAATGTGTTTAATAAAAGTTATTTTCATAATTGCCCTGATTTTTAAAATCTATGATTGTGTGTTTGGTAAATTAGATTTTAAAATTATTGTGTACGTATAATAACCAAAATGGACATTTTATTTCTTAAAATATTTTTATAATTCTAATTTGTATTTTGTTAAGTATATAATAAAAAATTAAAAATATAATTAAAGTTTATGTTAAATAAGTTATTAATTAATTAATAATTAAAAACAAATAAAAAAAATTGGGATCTAGTTGACGGTGATCAATCGTTGGTCAAAGCCGATCAGCCACCATTGACTGGTGGTTAACATCCGTCAACGGTGAAGCATTAATGTCACAACCAGTCCTATTGGGACCAATAAGAGCCGATCTATTCGAATGTGGCGGAATCACTGGATTCTAACAAATCGACATGCGTCATCAGAATTCACTGGAATATGCCCGCCGTCGTCCATTACAGCAGCCACCGCCAACCAACTCTTTTGTCGCTTCAATTTTATTTATATCATAAGAGATTAAATTTTTATTTAAATTCTTTATAAATAAAACTATAATATAAGAGTATATATGTCATTTAAACATACAAAATCAACTTTGAAATAATCAGATTTTGAAAAACTACCTTTTAAAATCCTTTTATAAATCTGATTATTTTATAATCAGCTTTAAACTTAATCAGTTTTAAAAGTTGTTTATCAAATAATTTTATTGTTGTAACTTAAAATATAATTAATTATTTCTTTAGCTCAATAATCTCAAACACACAATTAATACGTGGAAAATGATAATAAAAGTAAGTAATAAATAAGAATTAAATGTATGGTTCTTGTTCATCATTTATACACAGTAATTTTAGCATATAAGATTGTATTCCTAATTTAGAATATGAGATAAAAATTAGTTTATTAATTTATGAAAAAATTCCACAAAACCCAACTAAGAAATTTATGTAT